CAAAATAATTTCTGATTTTTTTTTTCTCAGTTTATTAATGTTTTATAAAGTTCAGGGAATTTATTAAGGGATAAATTTAATAAATATATACTTTTATACATGGATTATACAGGATTTGTTAATGAATAATAAATAATGACTTTTTATTTTTTCAAAGCTACATAGATTTATGGTTGTGGATTAATAACAGGATAAACAATTTTGATTTAATAAATCATTTTATTTTTAATTTTAATTATTCAGCAATTATAAAATTATGTAATTGTTAATTAGAAGAAATAACTAATTAAAAAGTCAAAGAAGCAATAGCATATTTACATAGTAAATCATATGCTGTTTTATTTCATCAATGTGCTGAACTGTAAGGGACATGAAGGAATTTGTACAAAGTTGGTCAGGGGAAGTCAGGAAAAGTCATGGAATTTAGAACAAAAATTCAAGTAGGAACCCTGATTTCAGTCCATAATTATTTGAGTTTTCCTTATTATAAGATTGAGTATGACATATTTACTGTTGATAAGAACAGTTTATTTACATAATTGTAATAAATATTGATATGCAATATTTTAAAAAATTACTTGGTTATTATCTGTATTGTCATACTGTCTGTAATTTAACTTATTAATGTTAAAAGTATATGATAAATGTCTGTCTTTCATCCATAATAACTTGAGATTTATAACTGTAGGTTATACAATCTCCACGAAACTACTGGTATAAAGCAGTAAAATACATAATTATCAATAACCAGCATGAATTAGATTTAATTAAACAAAAAACAAAACTTTTTTGTTCTTTTTAAAACGTGTATTCTATTAGTTCTAAACCTGATGATGACTGTTAAAAATAGAGGAAAATGTTTGTTTTTCATTTAATTAAATTAATTCATGCTGTTTGTTGGTAATTATGTATTTTAATGTAGATTATATTTGATAAATTATCTAAAATCATAATTATCAACAACCAGCATGAATTAGATTTAATTAAACAAAAAACAAAACTTTTTTGTTCTTTTTAAAACGTGTATTCTATTAGTGCTAAACCTTATGATGACTGTTAAAAATAGAGGAAAATGTTTGTTTTTCATTTAATTAAANATATTGATATGTAGTATATACTACATATATAACTACATGTATATGTTAGATTAGGTTAGACCACAGTTACATGTCATCTTAAGTCACAAAGATTACATCACAAGCCACAAGTTCTCATGGAATGTGAGATAACATGAAACTTATGATGGTGACAATATAATATGCAGCTTTTTGTTGATTATTTAACAAGGAACACTGTATGAGAAATGAAGCAATCAAAGAATTAATGCATGGACCATCAAAAGTTTGGCAAGTTATCACATTCTATGATTATAACACTTATGTGTTGTGGCGTTACAGGAGTGGAGTCTTGGAGAATGAACTCGTCCAACTTTAGAAAGAGACTCCACTACTGTAATGCCACAACACGTAAGTGTTATAATCATAGAATAACTTCGTTGGCGTGAAGTGTCATTGTATACTATATCAAGTTATCACATGATGTTGACTACTAAATTACTACCTTTATAACTTAAAAAAATTGTAACAGTTTTATTGTTAAGTGCATTTGCCATGATACCTTGATAACATTGTTACAAAATAAACAAATTTTTAGAATTTATTAGTTTGTTCCTTAAAATTAATGTTTTAAATTTTTGTCATGTGGCATTGTTGCATTCAATGTATTGCTTTTATCTAAATTTAATTGGAAATCAGCAAATGTTGTTGCTTTATTTTTTGTTATGCTTCAATGGAAAAATATGAGAATAGATGAAAAATATAAATGATATACATTAATACCTTTTAAAAACATATCGACAGAAATATAAAAAGTGAAAAATAGTTACAAATGAAGTCATGAATGACTATGCATTTTCCTGTAACAGATATTGTACAGTAGTAGGCAAAGTAAACATTGTCAGATAGCATTAAAATCTTTTTTATATAATGTAAGTACTTTCTGTGCATGCTATTAATGAATTCATTAGCCTGATGATGACTGTTTTGTATCATTGAAAGTAATTGCATTGTATAAAGGGTTTTAGCATCATCTGACAGTGTTTACTTTGTATAATATTACATTACATTTGGCATAGAGTTTAAGCTACTGTACATGAATGCTCATGTTGTGTATTTCAGATTCCAGCATTTTTTCCTTTGAGAAAAAAAATGCTGGAATCTGCTTTTTTGTGCAGTGACTATTTGTGCAGTGAAAAATGTGTCAACTGCATGTCATGTTTCACTTTGAAAAGTTAGAAAGGTAGAAATATCTTCAGGTTTTTATGAGATTTTAAATATGAGAAATGTTGAAAAATATATGTGCTCTGATATCTCAGATACCACATGACACATGGAAGATTAATAGCAATGATGAACAGATAGATAAGTGATGAGCTCATTGAGTTCTCAAGAAACCCATCTGTCATTATCATCTTTCCACTTTACTATGTATAATCACAAATTCTTATATTATCCACTTGGAATTTGTTTGCTGTATGGGTTTAAAGTAACAAGCAATTTCAGGATGTCATTTTCAATAGTTACTGGACAGTCAGAACATAGTTTATCTTGAAGACTTGTATCACCTGAATAAAATTTTGTAAATCATTTTTGAACATCATATCTTGTTCACTTATCATATTCACTTTGTTCATGCTTTGACAAAATCCTATGTAGTCAGATATACACTACTCCCAAGTTTGATATACAAAAGATAAATTTGCTCTGGAACTATTGCTAATTGAAGACTATAAAATAGATAAGTTTGAAATATGAGTATTTTATTAAGTATGAATATTTAAAATGTAAAAAACTGAAATAATTATCTACTTTAGTTTACTGTCTATTTTGAAAGCTTATACTTTTCAATTTCACTGTTAAAAGCACTGAAAATACTTTTGTCTCAAGCTGATACATGAATAGCCAGGAGAATCATTCTACAGTGGTGCTTCATACTTTGAACACTTCAGAGTTTGAATGATAAATTTGACAAAAATTTGCTTGACTTTGAAAAGATGCTCTAAAGTTCAAACTGAGCATGCAGTGGAAAAATACACTTGAAGCATAAATACCATCTGTTGTGTGCTCATTCATTTCTAACATTACACTTGTATGTTTTCAGTGCTTTTTTTGCTTTATTTTTATTTCAATGCTTTATTTGCCTTATTATTTTTGATGTATTTGGTTATATATATTGTGTTATTCATCAATTTTTAACAATTTCTTCCTGTATATTTTCTTCATCTACAGCTTTTGGGAACCCCTTAGGTTTTGTATCCTTTAGTTCAAAATTTCCTGAAAGGAACTTTTTAAACCACATTTGAGATTGTTAAAGTTTAGGGGCATTTTCCCAATACACATTATGAATTCGTTTTTACTAAAATTATAAAGTTGGCTGACAGTATTTACATTAAAATAAATAAAATGTATATATTGAAGATACAAAATTGTCTTCATCTTCCTCTTCCATCATTTACAATCACGAGCAACAATCCAAAAAATTTTCACTTGTGGAGATGATTTTTTATTTGAGGTTGTGCCTCCATAAAATATTTCCAGAGAATGTTTTTATTGGGCTGAAATTTTCAAATTGCAGACCTATAAATTTTCACTGGTGTCTATCTCTCTGTCTGTTCTTTCTTAATCTTGAGAACAAAGTTAGAAAGATGAAAGTCAAAAGCAGATATGGACAGCTTAAAGGCAGGAGTATATGGTTAATATACAAACTTCTGGTCTATACAGGAAGTCATATGATATCAGTTTAAAATTTTTCTCCAGAACAGAATTAGATAGATGACTGGATGACTCTCATTATCAGGAAAAGTATGATGTACAGGGGCAAGATACTACAAAAATCAAGCATATATATTAAATTAAAAATGTTATTGAAAATTGCATTGTGATGATGATACAATAATTTTACCTGTTCATTTTACATTTTTTTGTGGAGGCACAGCCTCAAATAAAAGGTTGTCTCCATAAGTGAAAATGTTCTTGGATTGTTGCTAGGGGTAACAGAAGAGGAAGATGAAGGCAATTTTATATCTTCAATGTATAAATATATATATATATATTACTGTTTGTACGTTGTTATATTCTTTCTAAAATTCATAAAGCATAATATGCCTGATATGCTTTTTATTTGAAGACATTTCAACTTGATTTTATTCAAACAAAATGGGAAGTAGAAAGTTTAAAATAGGCTTCTAAACAAAGAATACATTCTCACATTAGCAAAAATGTGTCACATTTCACAACTGTCATAATTAAATCAAGCACTTTGTTAAGTAATGACAGCTGATAAAAATAAGCAAAAACTTGTTCAACCCAATATAATCTCTACTTATTAACCATGGCATCTGAGAAATGTGTGGAAGCAAGAAAGTCTAAGAAAAAGGTTGTAATATTGATGATTGAGATGAAAAGGGAACTTATTGTGAAGCATGAAAGTGCTATAACTTACATATGATAGGTTTGATGGCTATTTTTAAGATATTGAAGCTGACAATGCACAATCATTAAATGCAATTTTCATTTTATTATATAATGCATACATATTTTAGTTATTGTTTTCATGTTTTACTTTACTATTAGGGCATTTGTGTTATTTTTACTTTAAATTATGCATATTTACTGTTATAACATTAGCATACCTAGAACCAGTGATCAAATTATACTTATATTTTGTTAAATCTTTTGCTTTATCCACTCTGCCCTTACAATAAACAGTAGTTGATAAATGAATTCCTATTTTCTTTGTGTATCTGTGGTCACAAAACATTGGTGGATGTAACCTATATCTGTAGATATAGAGGGATATCTAAAGTGATTACTCTTTGTTTTTTTATGTATTTACGTATACTGAGTGACCATTTTACTATTTTTTATTTTTTACATTATTTCACTAGAAAGTAGAGAATGGTTGTATATTAAAGTTCATTTAACAATTTTTTTTATGTTTAGTTATGATACTTGGGTTCCTGGATTAGAAATAGATCAAGATCCTGATTCACCACAACCTGTTACAGGTCCTTTTGAAGTAAGTGTTTTATTATTATTACTTTAAAAAATGGATGCTTCTCTTAATTATAAGTTAATTATCAAATACAGTAAAACCTAAATACAGAAATTTAATTAAAACCTCCATTAATGGACACTACCAAATAGTGGACACATCTACTTAATGGACATTTTTATGATTCCCAGGCTCTTCAAATAGGATATCTATAATATTTATCTCTAAATAGCAGACACCATCATCCATTGTAAAGTACTATATTATTTTTCCAACGATTATCGACACAACTGTGTGCCGGAAATAGCCGTTACCTAACGGGTACTTTACGTGGATTCGCGTTAGTGTGCCAGGCCTGGACTTTTAGCGTGCACCGAAATTAAATAATGACAAAGTTTGTCAATAACAAATCAAATATTTAATTAATTTCTAGTAATAAACTATTTACAAAATTTAGTAAAATCAAACAACAATATATTCAATGAAAATCAATAAGAATCAACCTGACAAAAACTCAAATCAATCTAGTTTCTAACTTAAATCTATTCCCCTTTGGAATTCGACAAAATTCAAAGACTTAACTTATATACAATAATTCTTATGAATTAAAGATCCTAATCGTCACCTCAATATACTAGGAACCTATTTCCTCAACTCTCAAGACTTTCTCTATTCGTCGATCCACAAATCGAATAACTTCAAAATCGCCTTGGAACTATTTGATCCTATCAGACACCTCTCTTTCGTTCACTGCTACGAAGCTCACCAATCTCGTTGCTATCTGGAGTTCACCTCATCTGTCTTCACTTGACGTTCGGTTTTTATACTGTGAGGTGACGTCACAATTCTGAATGAGATCACTCCCCTCATTTACATACTTATTCGCTAACAATAAACTTTTCTATTTGTCTGGCAGCCTATTTTCCGACAATACTTGCTAACCTTTTACATTATTCTTTTTGACAATTTGCAGGTTGTTTTATTCTTTTAAGGTTTAGCAAATTTAAGTTGTGCGTGTGGGGTCTTCTCCCCCCTTTTTCTCGGTGCAGACTTACTTTTTCCGCTCAGGAACGCAAGTGTGCGTGAGTTTTTCCTATGGCGCTTTTCTCTCATTGGTGAGTTGGTTTCTCTTCTATTTTTTAAGTTTCTAAGGTGAATGGTGAGGAAATCTTTGTCCTAACAAAACATAAGCCCCAAACAAAAATATAATAAAAAGCAAAAATAAAAGTAAATAAAAATAATGCTCAGACTTGGTTCCTTACACCATAACCTACCTTATGAAAACACAAAGTCCTGTAATCAATATTCTGAAAGAATTGTGTAAGAAATATTTTAAAAACTAAAACTAAGAATCAGTTCCTACTCACCTGGAAAGTTGGAAAATCAGGGATTTTCATTAGTGTTCAGGAAAAGTCAAGGAAAGCCAGGGAATTTACCTCCTTGGCTGCCTTGTTGATTTTTTTTGCTCACAATAAGGTAGATCAAGTATAGTCATCTGCAGGCAGCAAGAAGTAATGTGGTACAATGCAACTTATCAAAATGCATGCAGAATATTTTTAGGACTCAAAATTTCCCCAAAAATTATTGCACACAAAATAAAACCGTAATTTACGAACCGATTAATAATAATTATAACTTAGTTTGGAAAATTCAAATTGAATCATACATATAAGTAAGTAAGCCTACCATACAATTTGCTATGCAACACTAAGTTAACATAAATATTTTAGATTAAAAGAATGCTTTAATTTAAAGCACATGTTTTCATCATTATAGGATAGCATATACAGTTATAAACTTGATGCAATATGTTGATTAATAGAAATAAAGTTGAATTCAGTGCTATAAATCAGGGCTTCTTAAACTTTTTTTATTCACGACCCCATTTACGATTGTGATTTTTTTCGCGACCCCCTCTCCCCCAATATAAAATAAAGATACTATATATACAAATTTGCAGAAACAATAATGGTGTACTACCACAGTTCACTCTTGTGTTACAATGGAACAAAGACAACTGAATACACTGAAAAGCGACAATATTACACTAGTTCACACTACAATCAGTGTTGCTGAATCGTTGTCTCGCTGCACCAGAAGTGATAACAACGCGCAACTCACGAAACCTATGACACAAAGCGTGCCATTTTCAAACTCTCACAAATTATTTTCAATATTTTGCATTAAAATCTCGCGACCCCAAGATTTCGCTAGGCGACCCCAAATGGGGTCGCGACCCATAGTTTAAGAAGCCCTGCTATAAATGATTATTTTTATTTTTTGCACAGACAGTAATTAATGGACTTTTTGACATCCAAAAATACAAAATTTATTTATGATGGTGACCTCAGAATGAATTTTTATGAGGCTCAAAAATTTCAGTTAAGGATGAACTTTAAGTAATGAACACCAAAAACTATTATAAAAAGGAAAATTTTCATTTTATTGGAATATTTTCCAACCATGGCCATTTTGTCTAACTTCTAAAACACTCCTTTACGTTATTTAAGTTAAATTATTTTGACTAAAGTTAATNTTTTTGAAATATTTTGACTCTATGAATCTCTCACAATTACCTTTTACACTCTCAGTTTTACAACAGATGTTAATGAACTGATAAAAAAAATTATAAAGTACAAAAAATGATAAATAATTTTAATTTAAAAGGTATTATTTATCATTATTTTCCCAGTTGATTAATATTTTATAATAAAGTTTGGAAAATTTATTAAGAGATAAATTTAATAAATACATACATTTGTACATGGATTATGCAAGATTTGTTAATGAATAATAAATAATGGCTCTTTATTTTTATTCAAAGCCACATGGATTTATGGTTGTGGATTAATAACAGGATAAACAATTTTAATTTAATAAAACATTTTATTTTTAATTTTAATTATTCAGCAATTATAAAAATTATGTAACTGTCAATTAGAAAAAATAACTAATTTAAAAATTGAAGAAGCAATAGCATATTTGCATAGTAGGTCATATGCTGTTTTATTTTGTCAATGTGCTGTACTATAATGGACATAAAGGTTGGCAATTTGTACAAAGTTGTTCAGGGAAAGTCATGGAATTTAAAACAAAGATTTGAGTAAGAACCCTGTATATAGTAGTATTGTTTTAACTACATGGCAGTGCATAATTGTTCCTAATGAAACTAAAACAATTATTGCTTCTAACCTTTCAATTATTGATGCATACTTGAGCTATCAAATTCAATTTAGTTAGACAGGACAGAACTGATCAATAATTGAAAGGTTGGTGATAGTGTTTGTTTCATCTCTTGTATCACAAGCAATTGCTTAATGATGCCACAACAAAGGGGGACCTGCAAAAAACAGTTAACACGGAATAATCAAATAATTTTTTTCCTTCCTAATAGTTGCATATAACAAGTCACTATAAGTATTATTCTTTCAAATTTAATTTGCCCTACGGACACAGAGAGGGCCTTTTGTGTGACCCATTGTGGGTTTGACCAGACCCACAATGGGGCAACTGGGTGGTGAGGGATGAGGCATCTCAGAATAATTTCTAAGATTTTTTAATTACCTAATTAAATTCCAGGCAGGTGATGCTTTAACTGCCTTGACCATCCAACCAGTACCACCATTCATTTGTAATGCAGTTGCACTGTTTGTATTTATGAAGGTGACAAGATAATTCTCACTCACTAAGTTGATACACCTACCCAATTAAAACATGCGAGATGTACCAAAATGTTTCACAGGGGGCAAACTGATTGTGAAACTGGCACCAGGTTTAAGGAAATAAGAACATATGAACTTGAGAATATATTTCAATAAGTAACTAAAAAATGTTAGAGAAAATGAATTTGTTAATGATATTTGTTTTTATAATAAATAATTTATTATATTTTCTTTAATGTTTATACAATTATTAGACATTTACTTCTTTTAATGATAGTGCAGATTAATTTTAAAGACTAATATTGATTGTTTATGTGAAGAATTATAAAATGCAATAGGGAGGAGAGCATTGCAAAATGCCAGGGATCAAACTAAGTCCCAAATATAATATACATCAATATGAATTGTCATTTGTAAATTTTAGGATGGCTGTATAAATTATGCAGTACAATAGAGTCCCAAAAACTTGGCGTAATATGGACCGAAGGGTGGCCGAGTTTGTGAAAATGCCAGGTTATCGGGAATGGGGTTTAAAAAGAATAAGTAGGAGTGTTTCCTCAGAAAATACTGTACTGTACTGTACTTGTATGTATTGTTTGCTTGAGAATACAACAGAGAATAAACTGCCCAAATACCCTTAAACAAAGGAAAAGTACACACTTCATGAAGGCATAGAGCCTTTACTACATGAAAATGAAAATAAATGAATACACAGTGTACGGTAATTTACCTGATAAGCCAGACCTCAGAAAAATACTTTATGATGCATAAAGCTATCTATAATGAAAATTAATTAGGAGTTTTTTCACCCTGCTAGGGTATGGCCGAGTTATCCAGACTGCCGGGTTATCAAGTGCCGAGTTTTCGGGACTCTACT